AGAGCAAGACTCTGTCTCAAAAAAAAAAAAAAAAAAAAGTAATGAAGAGTATTTTCTTTTTTGCTTTTTTACTAAGGCAGTGCCATCACAGGCGGCTTGGTTTAAGCAACAGCTTAGTGGCAACAGAAACCAAATAGTAGTGAAATACCAAGGTGAGCTGGCAGCCTCCGTGGGCCCAAGCAGCACATCTGGGGATGAGGAGCAGGGCTCCTGGTGGGACTGAGGAAGGGGCCGAGGTAAGAATAAGAGCTCAGCGATTGCCCAGATACAGTCTCCACAGCCCAGCTGCAGGGCTGAGACAAGCCAGGACTAGAGAAGCAGACTTCAGAAATCCCTGGAATTTCTGGGTTTTGGAATGACCTTATAGATTACTGTTTTTTTTGTCTGCCTACCCTCCCCACTCCCTTTTCCCATTTTGTCTGGGAACAGAATCTTCCTTCCTGCGGAACACCTACTGGATGTGGTTCATTCAGGTAGGGCTCACTTGCTACTTCCTGCCACGGGAGCCAGCATATGACCCAGGCTGGCCAATCGGGTGACACCTTGGCCCTGGCCACAGTGATTGGTTCAGGGATGGATCTGTAACTCACACCTGACCAATCAGCGTCTTTCCTGGGACCTTACTATCAGAGCTATCAGAAAAGACTTGTTTGCTCCTCTGAGGTTGCTAAAAGAAGAGAATGTAACGGTATCTTGCTACATAAGAGTTGCTCAAGAAGGAAGCCAAATCGAAGCAAATGGAGCCAACATGTAGGGAGAGAGATCAGCTCTGATGACATAGTTTGAACTCTTATCTTCGTCCATGTCCGAGGACAGCACCATCTCTTCAACTGCCCAGTTACATGATCCAATAAATTCCCCACTGAGGGTTTGTGGTTAATGTAAGTTGAGCTTCTGTCACTGCCTAAATGATCCTGGCTAACACAGACCTGCTCAGCATCCTATCTACACAGACCTCCAACACAAACTCCTCTTACAGCTGCATCCCTGCCTCTGACTCCAGATCTGAACTTGGTCATGAGAATAGGAGAAGCTGAACAGCCTCTTGGCTAATTTCCTCCATAATCAGTCCCTGCTTTGTATCCCATTTTTAATAACTGAGGTCCTGTCTCCTTATCCTGGCTCTTAGTCCTTCCAGCCCCAGGAGGGACAGCTGGCCAGAACTTGTCACTTGCTGCTGTGTCCTGAGCATTGCTCGAGCCTGTCTGGATTTCCACCTGTGGTCCACACTAGTCCTACTTAATGCAAACTACTTCCCCCAATCCCTACGCCCCTTGGGTCTACCCATTTCACAGATGGCTAAGCCTGGTTACATGAGCTTAAAGCTTCACAGTGCAACTTAAGGCAGCATTTCCCAAATTGCGTACTGTGAGACTCCATTTGGCCATTTGGTGAGATGTTCATAGTCCATTAACCAAGAGGAAAAAAGCAAAGCTGGCAATAGTTTTTTCTTCCATTTTATATTTTAAAATACAGACAGTGGAGAAACTTTAATATGCAGCTTATCCTCTAAGGTCGGCCCTTAAGATGAAAATCATGGCTCACCAAAATTGCCTTTGATAAACCCTTAAACTGTCTACCAAGTGTAGCAAACACTTCCCACTTGGGTCTGCTGGAGAGCCAATTTTTCCTCCAGCTCCGGAACAAGTTGCTGTTTTTACAGTTTTGCTCTAGGTGAAGGTGAAGGAGTTGACTTATTTTAGGGGTCATGTGGCTGAAAAATATGTACCCAGATTAATAAGTAGAACAGCAAGATGCTCGCTCTGTGAGAAGCACGTGGGAACAGAGACTGATGGAGGGAAGCCCAGATGCAAGCATCCCATCTCAGACCTATTCCAGGGTTGCTGGATCATTGTGTTATTGCGATGGCTCATGCCTGTAATCTCAGCACTTTGGGAGGCCTCTCTCTCCATGTCCATGTGGAACATGTATAATTGAATTTAGGGGAGTTAAATACATGTAAGTTATGATTTCACCATGTGAAAGAAAAATATTTATCATTATAAGATGTTCTCATAGTAATCTGTTTTTAGAAATTTATTATTATTATTATTTTTTGAGATGGAGTCTTGCTCTGTCACCCGGGCTGGAGTGCAATGGCACGATCTCAGGTCACTACAACCTCCACCTCCTGAGTTCAAGTGATCCCCTTACCTCAGCCTCCTGAGTAGCTGGGATTACAGGCACCCACCCCAACATCCAACTAATTTTTGTATTTTTAGTAGAGATGATGTTTCCACCACCTTAGCTAGGCTGGTCTCAAATGCTTGACCTCAAGTGATCAGCCTGCCTTGGCCTTCCAAAGTTCTGGAAATACAGACACAGGCCACCGTGTCCAGCCCAGTATATATGTTTATCATTCCATATTTATTAAACAGTAAACATATGAATCAAGTAATAATAATCCTAATAGCATTATTAATAAGAAGTAACAATAAGGGCATTAACAAAAATATATGCCACATATTTCTCAAACAGCTCTGCATTTATTAGTTCATTTAATATTCCTGTCAACAATTCTCCTCATTTTACACATGAGGGAACCAAGGCTCAAAGAAGTGAAGGATTTTTCAATCCACATTTCCAGATCTCAAATCCTGAGCTTATATGTGGTTACTTTGAGGATCAGACCAGAGGATGTATATAAAAATACATACACGCTATGCAGCTTATCCTCTAAGGTCGGCCCTTAAGATGAAAATCATGAAAAAATACACAATATGCTATTATATAATCAGAGAGGTTTTTTTTTTTTTTTTTTTTTTTTTTGAGACAGAGTCTTGCTCTGTTGCCCAGTCTGGTGTGTAGCAGTGCGATCTTGGCTAAATGCAACCTCCACCTCCCAGGTTCAAGCGATTCTCCTGCCTCAGCCTCCCAAGTAGCTGGGACTACAGGTGCGCACCACTATGCCTGGCTAATTTTTGAATTTTTAGCAGAGACAGGATTGCACCATATTGGCCAGGCTAGTCTCAAGCTCCCGACCTCCAGCAATCCGCTCGCCTCGGCTTCCCAAAGTGCTGAGATTACAGGCGTGAGCCACTGCACCCAGCCTCAAAATGATCATTTTTAAAAATAGATACCAGTTATGGAGCTCTCATCCTATGTCAGTCACCATAATAAGGGCTGCTCATGCTCTTTTTTTGTTTAATTGTCACGACCCTATGAACAGATGCAGAAACTGACGCTCAGAGAAGTAATGACTTGGCCCAGGAAGACATGGCCAGTATTATGAAATAAGTTGGCCTAACTCTTAGTAAACTGCACTGCCACCCTCTATAGATACAAATTGCCTCCATCATCATTATCAATCAGCACAGAGAATAAGAGGCACGCACCGTCAGGGAAATTCAAATCAACCACAGGGAACTACCACTTCACACCCATTAGCATGGCTAAAATTTAAGACAGACAGTCAGCCAGGTTTGGCGGCTCATGCCTGTGATCCCAGCGCTTTGAGAGGCTGAGGTAGGCAGATCACTTGAAATCAGGAGTTCGAGGGCAGTCTGGCCAACATGATGAAGTCCTGTCTCTACTAAAAATATAAAAATTAGCCAGGTGTGGTGACGCATGCCTGTAATCCCAGCTACTCAGGAGGCGGAGGCAGGAGAATTGCTTGAGCCGGGGAGGCGGAGGTTGCAGTGAGCCGAGATTGTACCACTGCATTCCAGCCTGGGCAACAGAGCAAGACTTCATCTCAACAAACAAAAACAAAAACCCACAAAAAAGACAGACGATAACAAGCGTTGGTGACAATGTGGAGAAATTGGACCCCTCATACTCTGCTGATGGGAATGTAAAAAGTGGCAGCTGCTGTGACATTCAGTCCACAGTTCCGCTAACGGTGAAACATAGTTAACATATGACCCAGCAATTCCACTCTTAGGTACATACTCAAGAGAAATGAGAATATGTATCCACATAAAACCTTGTACACAGATGTTCGTGCAGCATTATTCATGATTGCCAAAAAGGAGAAACAGCCCAAATGTCCATCAAGGGATGAACGGGTGGATTCCATGCAATGGAATACAACTCAGCCATAAAAAGGAATGAAGTACAGGCCGGGCACAATGGCTCACATCTGTAATCCTGACACTTTGGGAGGCCGAGGTAGGCGGATCGCTTGAGTCCAGGAGTTTGAGACCAGCCTGGGCAACATAGCGAGAACCCTGTCTCTTAAAAAAATTGAATGAAGTATCAACACATGCTACAAGACGAATGAGCATTGAAAACATGCTAAGTGAAAACAGCCAGCCACAAAGGGCCACATATTATGTGATTCCATTTACGGGAAATGTCCAGAATAGGTGAATCCATAGAGACAGAAAGTGAATTCATGGGTGGGAAGGAGGAGGAACAGTGCTCGAAACGGTGGCGAAGGAGTGTGAGATTTCTTTTGAGTCGATGAAAATATTCTAAAATTGATTGTGGGGATGGTTGCACAACTCTGAATAATCCAAAAAAAACCATAAAATTGTATCCTTTAAATGGGTGGATTGCATGGTGTGTGTAAATTATATCTCGGTAAGTTTCTTTTAGAAAAAACATAAACCAAAAAGCAGTGTCTTCCTGACATCGGTGACCTAAAGTTATAATACATTTTCAAGCCTGGTCCTATTCCTCCCAAGCACGGTGACTCAGATGACAGCATGATCACCAGGCGTGCCCCGAGATCCTTGCCTCCTCTCCGGGAATCCAGGGTGTCGTCCTGAGCTTTTCCACCTTCCCCAGCCACGCCCTGCCCTGCTCGCCCGGGCCGGCCCCGAGTAGAGCAGAAAGGAATCCCACTCGCCTGCCAGCCTGCCGTGGCTTCTTCTCGGCTGCAGCTCGGCGGCGGCGCCGTTTCATCCTGTCTGCTGCTACTTCCTCCCTCCCGCCCAGCTTGCTGTGAGAGAGCGTCTCAGATTCCAAAACCATGTGAGATTCAGAATGCGCACCTGAAGCTGCCCCCTGGGGTTTACCACTGCAGAGGTCTGGGGTCCTCCCCGCATCCCACTTACCTAACATAGGAAAAGACGATCACGTGGAAGAACCACTTAAGGGTGCCGTAGTTCATACTCTGGATCCGGGTGACTTTGTTGGTCTCATACTGGAAAACATCACTGCAGCTGCAGCAGGCCGGCATGGTGACAGGCTCCCTCCCTGCGCGGGGCTGGACCAGGGCTCAGCTATCCCAGATGGGGCCACAGCAAGCCCCCTCCCAGTAACTGCAAAATGAAACCTACTGATTTTTAGTAGGAGCCTTTAACTTTGAGTTCCTCCAATGACTGCAGAGTAAGGGCGGGCCCTGGCAGTTGCCCCAGATGTGGCTGCAATAAACAAGAAGGGCCAAGTCCTACGGGCTAGGCTGGCAGATGACCTCGCCCCAGCTGGCCTCCCCCAGATGCCTACACAAAGACGGTGTTCAGAGGATGGGCATTTTTAGAATTCTCCCTTTCCCCCCTTTCCTTTTGCTTTTTTTGGGCTCATTTCTGTTGGGAGAAAGGGACAGCCCTGCCAATGTCACAAGACCCGGAGCTTTCACTCTGCCTCAGAAAAGGGCTGAGATCTTTCCATTGCCTCAAGGCCCACTCAGAGATTGATTCATTCATTTCTACAACCCTTTATTCAGCCCCTGATGTATAGGAGCTCTGGGTAAAGGAAGGTCTCCCTCTCTTCTTCCACTGCCTGGTCTGGTCTGCAGTTGGTGGAGGAAATCAGATTTGCAAGGGTGAGGGTGGTGGGGGTGGAGGGGCTTTATTTTTCTGCTAGCTCTTTCATGCCTGACCCTCTGAGTTACTCTCCATCCTGCCCTACTCCCCCGAAGGTCAACCCATGACCTAGACCAGTCAGCCCAAGAGGACCAGGAACACAGTGGCAGTCCAACAGAGTTAGGTTTGTTAACCTATTCAGCGAGGGACACCACCCACCCGAAGAGCCACAGCATATCACCAAAGGAATACAGCAATGTATCAAAGGAGTCCCAGGAAAGTGGAATTTAGATAAAATCTAAATGAAGTCATGTTTTGAAAGACTCCAGACAGAGCAGGTTTGTACAAAGCAGTCGTCTTCAAATCTGGATTGCAAAGGGGTCCCAGGGCCCTGTTTCCTTAAAAGCAACATAGCTAAGATATATGTCAAATGTGTCCAGAAACTCTTTATCTGCAGCTCTGCTCCTGAGTTGTAAGTTGAGGCTGCTTCTCTTTGTCAAGATGACTTAGGTCCTCCAGGCAAAATTGGAATACTTCAGTCTTAGTCATGTAATCTCAAACAGCAAAGTTTCTGCAGGTCTGTGATTTTAAAGGACAGTGTTTCAGCAGTCGCTTAAAGATGCAGGGTTGTATCATTACTTTACAGCTACAGAGAAATAGTGTCCCCTGTTATTTTTGCAGCTGGCATGATCCATTTCTGTTACTCTAGCCTGCTAAGTGGCTGAGTAGATTTTTACTTTTTCAGTCTGAGTGAATTGTACTTTCCCACCCATCCAAACTGCATCAGGGCTCCCCCTCACCCTCTGGCTTCCAGTTCAGGAAAGCGGAGAGCAGTGAGGATGGACAGGACTCCCTGGCCCCACCCTTCTCAGTTGCATATAGGCGGGGCTTCTGGCCACCACACCCTCCTTTAGTCCTGGGAGTGTTAAGGGCTCCCCACTCTTGCCAGCCCTAGGCAGCTCACTATCCCCTATTGCTTTTTCTTAACTCTGCCTACAGCTTTGTAAATGCCCCCATCATTAGTTACCCCACTTGAGTATGCCATTGCTTTCTTGCTGGGAATCCGAGTGATACGGTCATCTCCATCTGTAAAAAGAGGAGATTCACAGGTAAAGCCTGCTGCTTAGAACATAGACTCTAGGGGACTAATGGCCTGGCTTCCAATCCTGGCTCCACATCTTACCAGCTCTGTGACCTTGGACAGCTCTGTTTATGCTATTCATTCCCTCATTCATTCACTCATTCCCAAGAGCACCATGAACAGGCAAACAAGTCAAATGTCCATCCACTGATCAATGGATACACAAAAGGGAGTCTGTCCATACAGGGAAATATTATTCAGCCATAAAAAGGAATGAAGCCCTGACCCACTCTCCAATGTAGATGAACCTTGAAAACATTACGCTAAGTGAAAGAAGCCAGACACAAAAGGATACACCTTTTATGACTCTATTTATAGGAAATGTCCAGAATAGGCAGATCACTTCAGTGTTGCTCTTGCTACCGCTAAAAGACATCTATTTTCTTGTCTTTCTTTCTTTTTTTTTAGACAAAATTTCCCTCTGTCACCCACACTGGAGTGCTGTGGCATGATTTTGGGTCACTGCAACCTCTGCCTACTGGGTTCAAGAGATTCTTGTGTCTCAGCCTCCCAAGTAGCTGGGATTACAGGCGTGTGCCACCACACTTGGGTAATATTTGTATTTTTAGTAGCGATGGGGTTTCATCATGTTGGCCAGGCTGGTCTTGAATTCCTGGTCACAAGCGATCCACTCACCTCAGCCTACCAAAGCGTTGGGATTACAGGCGTGAGCCACCACACCCAGCCTGTTTTCATGTCTTTCTGCTAAACTCTTGCACTGACCCCTCATGCCGTCCCCTCTCCACTGCTTCAGCCCTTATCTGCTATTTCACCACTGCCACGTCCACCACTGCAAGGATTCTGTTCTCAGTGAGGTTACCGAAGACTTCTCAGTTGCCAGACTCAGTGGATGTATATTCTGTTCCTTATTTTGCTTGATCTCTTGGATGCATTCAGCGTCACTGGCCACTTTCTGCTTCTTGGACCAGTATTTTCCCTTGGTTTCCATTACTCTCCCGGGTCCTATGTTCTCCTGGTTTCTCATTTGGACTTCTATGACTCTTTATCTTATCTTTCTTTTTTAAAAATTAATTTAATTAATTTATTTTAGAGACTGGGTCTTGCTCTGTCATCCAGTCTGGAGTGCAGTGGCATGATCGTAGCTCACTGCAGCCTCAAACTTGTGGGCTCTAGTGATCCTCCTACCACAGCCTCCTGAGTAGCTGGGACCACAGGCGCATGCCACCGAGCTTTGCTAATTAAAAAAAAAAAAAAAATTTTGTAGAGATAGTGTCTTGGTATGCTGCCCAGGGTGGTACTGAACTCCAGGCCTCAAGTGATCCTCCTGCCTCAGCCTTCCAAAGTACTGGGGTTATAGGCATGAGCATCCAACCTTTGTCTTCTCCTTCTCTGGCTCTCCTCTCCCTATAAGTTCCAGCAAATTGTCTCTCAGTACTTTTCATGTTTCTATTCGGATAGGACAGATTATGCTGCAGTAACGCAGCACTCTCAGAGCCTCATGGCTTATAATAGACTACACTACATGCGGGTCTCGGTCTCCCAGAGTCTCTGCTCTCTGTAATCACTCAGAGATCAAGGCTAACAGAACAGCCACTGTCTTGAACTCTTTAATGAGAACTCTGGAGAGTCTCACAGCAGCAGTTAAATGCTCTGACCTTGTGATGGAAAGAATACATATACATATAAGCTGTGACCTGGAAATGCACTCACTTCTACTCATTACTCATATTACTCATTGGTCAAAAGTAATCACTTGGTTCCACCCACCCACTAGGGAACAAGGAAGTACAATCCCCACTTATCTCCCCCATGTATCCAGAAACAGAAGCAGCAGAAATATTTGGTGAACAGCACTAATGATTATTGCATCTTCTCCCTGGGAAATTTCAAATTTTTATTCACACATATTGTTTTAAGAATAATCAGGTGGGTGTGGTGGCTCACACCTGTAATCCCAACACTTTGGGGGGCTGAGGCAGGTAGATTATCTGAGGTCAGGAGTTTGAGACCAGACTGGCCAACATGGTGAAACCCCATCTCTATGAAAAATACAAAATTTAGCTGGGCATGGTGATGGGTGCCTATAATCCCATCTACTCGAGAGGCTGAGGCAGGAGAATTGCTTGAACCCAGGAGGCGGAGGTTGCAGTGAGCCGAGATCACACCATTGCACTCCAGCCTGGGCAATAGAGAGATAATGCCTCAAAAAAAAAATAAACAAATAAATAAAATCAAATGCTAAAAGAAAATCAGCTGAGAGGAAGGGGTAGATATGTATATTACATGTTTAATGATGCATGGAATATAGCTGGAAACGGGATCTATCATATAATTTGCAAGGCCGAGGGCAAAATGAAATTGTGGGGTCCTTTATTCAAAAGTTAAGAATTTGAAATGGTGACAGCAAAACATGAAATGAATTCAGTTTCCTTCTAAGTGTGGGTCTCTATAAGACTGCACAGGTCCCATGCTCATGAAGATGGCACATCTGGAAGATACACAAGGTGGTCTCTGGGAAGGGAGCTGGGGGAATTAGTTGGTATTTGACAAGAGATTTCTTTATCACCCTTCTTGTGTCTGAATTTTTTCCTACCATATGTGTTCATTACTTTTTAAATCAATGAATGCTAAATCTGTATCTCCAGACCATATCTGAGTTCTGAGCTCCAACCTTGTGTAGTCTGTCAACCTATATATCCCACAGACACTTCGAATCACATCTTCAAAATGAAACACATTCCCACAAAATAGCAGTGCAAGTAAGGACCAATGAGAGGAGAGAGTGCCGACAGCAGGCATGGACTACATTTTTTTTTTTTTTTTTTTGAGACAGAGTTTCACTGTCACCCAGGCTGGAGTGCAGTGGCATGATCTTGGCTCACTGCAACCTCTGCCCCTCCAGCATTCAAGTGATTCTCCCACCTCAGTCTTCTGAGTAGCTGGGATTACAGGCATGCACCACCATGCCCGTCTACTTTTTGTATTTTTTAGTAGAGACGGGGTTTTACCATGTTTGCCAGGCTGGTCTTGAACTCCTGACCTCAAGTGATCCACCCGCCTCGGCCTCCCAAAGTGCTGGGATTATAGGCCTGAGCTACCACGCCTGGCCATGGACTACTTTTTCTATAGGAGAGAGAGGTAAGAATGGTTTTTAATGGAGTCAAGGAAAAGTGTGTGTGTGTGTGTGTGTGTGTGTGCGCGTGTGTGTGTGTGCGCGCGCGCACCCTGCAAGGATGTAGAGAAGATGAAAGAATTTGAGCCACTCAAAGATTACGATGTACTAAGTAGGATGTTGAGAATGGTGGTCTCTGTTTCTTCGTGGAGTAGGAAGCCAAGTGTGAAGGAATGGAGATTGGGGATTGCGTGTGCGTGTGTTTACAATTTACAGAAAATCAAGTGACATTCTTTAGCAGAAAAGGGAGGTGTTTTTGAGGAAACACTTATCTCACAGACTTCAAGTGCAGGAAATGTGGCCCAACCTCATGAGAACCTATTAATAGAATCAGAAACTAAACTGTCTCCTGCTGAGGTTGCTCTTTCAGTTTGTCTGAAGCTGTGTGGTCTGAAGCCCGCCTCTCTTTCTTTGTGCGCACATTGTGAGTCTCCTAAACACTGGTTTCCTCTCTTTCTTCCAGGACACGTGGTCCAGCAAGGCTCTCAAAGTGAAGTGTCCACCTTTCAAATGCAAGCCCAAATGCCCTGCCCAGTTCTGGAGTCAAGGGGAATGAATCTGATTGGCCTAGTTCTTTATCTGTGGTCCAATCAGCTATTGCTGTGGGCCGGGCCATAAACAAACATGGCATCAAGGGCCAAGGGGAGAAGGGAAGGAAGAGGAAAAGGAAGATGAGGAGGGTGAGAGAGAAAGAATGTGGCTCTCAGAGAACAGAGGCTCCAAGCCTGAGGGACTGCTGGTTAAATACCCCAATTTTCCCTTCAGGTGGGACAACTCTGAGGCATGCCTAGGCAGTCTCCAGAGGGCCCTAGGGGGACTGAGCCCAGATGCCCACAGCTGTGAACTGCTCTTTAATTATTCAATTTTATTTATTTATTTGAGAAGGAGTCTTGCTCTGTCGCTCAGGCTGGAGTGCAGTGGTGCAATCTTGGTTCACTGCAACCTCTGCCTCCCAAGTTCAAGCAATTGATTCTCGTGCCTCAGCCTCCTGAGTAGCTGGGACTACAGGCGCCTGCCAACACTCCTGGCTAATTTTTGTATTTTTGGTAGAGATGGGTTTCACTATGTTGCCCAGGCTGGTCTAGAACTCCTGATCTCAGGTGAGCCGCCCGTCTCAGCCTCCCAAAGTGCTGGGATTACAGGTGTGAGCCATCGCGCCCGGCCTCCTGAGCTGCTCTTTAATGCTTCCTGTGTTGTCTGCCTTCCCTTCCCTGTCTCCCTTCCCTACTTCTCTTCCTGGGTCACCTCCCAAACAAACTACTTGCGCCTGAATGTCGTCCAGCCTTATGTGCTGGTGTTAAGGAATCTATCTGAAATTTGCCCTGAGAGCAATAGGTGGGTTTATAAGCAGTGTGTGACATAATCTCATTTGCAGCTCAGTCAGAGCACCGTGGAAAATGGGCGTAAGGGGCAAGAGTGGAAGCACGGGTCTGCCCAGGGAGAGGGAACAGTGACATGGAAGGGGACTGAAGACAGATCCCTGGAGGACACCAACACCAAGGAGACTAAGCTAGGCAGTAGGGAGGAGAGGAAAGCCGGGAGACAGGGAGTCCCCAGAGGCCACGGGATGAACGCTTCACAAATAAGCCGGTGGTCAAGGAGACAGTAAGAGCGATGGTAAAGCCTGTGTAACTAAAGCAGCCCTAGTAAGGGAACTGATAGATACATTATTGGAACAGAATGGAGTCAAGTATGAAACACGAAGATTGGTGCAGGCTGAGTGCGGTGGCTCACACCTGTCGTTTCAGCACTTTGGGAGGCCAAGGCAGGAGGGTTGCTCGAACTCAGAAGTTCGGGACCAGCCTGGGCAACATGGCAAAACCCTGCCTCTACAAAAAAATTTAAAAAAATTAGCCAGTCCTGGGAGTGCACACCTGTAGTTCCAGCTTCTCAGAAGGCTGAAGTGGGAGGATTGCTTGACCCTGGAAGCTTGAGGCTGCAGTGAGCCAAGATCATGCCACTGTACTCCAGCATGCGCCACAGACTGAGACTCTGTATGCAATAATTAAAAAAAAAAAAGTAGAAACTTAATGTGTAATATAAGCATTTAAATAGGGGAGAAAGAAATTCCTCCAAATAGGATCTTTAAACAATTGGCTGCTCATTCAGGGGAGGTCAGAGGAGAAAGGAA